TAAAATTCAGACTGAGGGTAAAATGCAGATGGCAGACCAGTTGTAAAATGCAGACTCCACTGAGACTACAGACATGTTGACTGAATCGTGTTACAATTTCCATCAATGAGAGCTAACCTTAACCCTAACCGTAAACAGGCTAACCGGAGCGTCACTTAGACTAATCTGAGTGATATTCAGGCTAACTGGAGTGATATTCAGGCTATTTAAGTGGAGTGCAGACTTTCACTGCGATTAGCCTGAATAAGTATGTCTACGGTCAGCACGGGATAATGAAAATAACGCAATATATACTCAAAAAGTCTGTAGTCTGCAGTGTATATCATAGCTTGTCTGCAGTCTGCAGTTTACACCCCTGACCGACACAGTACGAGTACTATGACTGTTGAGCGCAATCACTGACTCTCGTTTGATAGCACCAAAGAGCGATTTAGAAAAAAACATTGTAACCAACTTGCGAAGGAAAGCTCTTTCGAAATAAACACTCGGGAATTACTAGTACCCAGTCTACCTGTCGGACTATAAATACTGCGAGAGTTCTGTCACGCGCGTGTCATACCGTGTGGCACGAAATCGACAAATTTTTGTATTTTGCAGAAACCAATTTTTGCGATTGTGAAAGAATGGTTTTTAGTACTGGCTCTTAATTTTTTGCGATTATCAGGAAGTCACGTTTAATTGGAGTTACAACATTTTCGTTATGTTTTCGTATTTAACTACATGATGCAATCATAGTTAGTGGAGGGGACTAACCTCCACTAACTATGATGCAATCGACCAGTGAAACAACACGAAGAGACATATCCCTCGAGTTTTGTTTCTGAACGAAAGAGACGTTTTCTGATAAATGGCACCAAGATTTTACATGAGATGTTTGTATGCATAATTTCACAAGTAGTGTACATTTTTGCAGAGAAAAATGTTTGGGGGAACTTTCTTTCGCGAAAACGTATTTTTGCGGATGGTGAAAAAACTGATGCAAAAATCCCAAAAATTAGAACACGCAAACTGATTTCGTGCCATATGCCACCTCGTGATTCGTCTGCAATCATTTGAAGTTTGTAGCGGA